AGCAGGCTTAGGTTAGTGTAGCAAAGCACCAGACGCCGGCGTTTCGACCTTATGGTTCTCGTCAGTGTGCGCCTCCCAGCGAACCGCTGCCAAGTTCCGCCTTCATGACTTCAGGATGCCAGCAGCTAGTGCCACTTCGCCACGGGCGACAGCCGCGTACCTGCGTGATTGACAGTTGAGTGTGATGTAGCCCGGCTCATCTTCCACGTCCATGCCAGTTACGTACTGTGCAGAGGACAATGGCTAAGCTCACGAGCTAGGACTTTCTGCATAACGCCAATGCACTGCATAGGACTTGGAAGCTATACGAACAGCTTTTATTATACTGATGAGTAGTGAAGATTTCGGCATAATGGCCAATTCATCATCACGACTCCCAATCAGCCGCCTTAGGCTAGTCTGGCAAAGCACCAGACACCGGCGTTTCGACCTTATGTGTCTCGTCAGTGTGCGCCTCCCAGTACAGTTTGTTGCGCACCAATTTACTATCAGCGTAACACACAACTTCACGCCTTGCACGTGTCATTCCCACTTTACGCATTTCACGCTGACGTACGATGACGTAGTCGAGCAGTGAGCGTGAGCACTCCGTGGGTGCGTCCAATTTGCTCTCACTCACACTCAGTGCAAACCGCGTGTTCGTGATCATCAGGTCGTGTGGCACACATGAGAGCAGCCTGTCACTGTTCGCATTCGCTGAATCAATATCATGCGGACCGATAACGTCTGTCCACGCTGATGCATCACGCCCAACACGCGCGTTGAAATCACCCAGCAGAAATAGTCGGTCGCTCCTCGGCACAGATCGTATCACTGAGGATAATTGAGTGTAGCATTGATTCCGCATGTTATCAGGATAATACATAGTCGGACCGTACGTGCTTATAAAAGTGGTAAACGTACTTTTCCGAGTCGTAGGCGAGCAGTCATCAGTCGCGCGCTAATGCCTGTTGGTTCACCCACGAGCTGGCCTTGGAGGCGATCGGATATTACAAATCCGACCCCATATTCATGTGGTACTGAGATGGCGTTGCCCACTCAGTAGTGCGTGTGGCCAGCACCTGCTTCATGCAACTTACCTTGGTGAGCTTGCCAAGTCTCACTGAGCGCCGCAATATCGATGTGGTACTGCGCCAGTTCTATTGCGACTAGTGCAGTGCGCGACTCGGGGCGCTCGCTCAAGTTCCGGTGTAGTAGTGTATGCACGTTCTAGCACCTTTTGCTGAGCTCTTTGCGCAGGCATACGATTGCATTGGTGGGCAATTGCACGCGAAGTGGCGGTTGTGCTTCAGAGGTTTGCTTGAGGGAGTCCAGACGGAGCATTTGGCTCAATAGCCTGACTCACAAGACAGTGGGGAGCAGATCCAGCTCGGGAATTTGATTACAGCGACAAATTGGGATCTGCTTGACGGCCGTCACACGCAACCTTTGAGCGTAATAGGATACGCTCCTGCGACTACGGCCCGAGGCAGTAGGGTTTAAGCGGGTTTGCACCAATTTGACCGGGGGCAGCCTGGCTTGAGGCGGACAGTAGCGAACCATTGAACACCCGGAGTTGCCCTCCCACCGCCACAGACAATGCGTGACTCTCGAGCTGTGAGTTTATATCCCACAGACCTGTTGTCTCCCATGCCTAGGTTTTACTGGAAGAGGACCATCGACCGCTTACTTACCTCCGTAGAGGATGGACTAGGTACTGGGAAGGCGCACACAGCTGACAGGAGATCAGCTGGGGTCCTTAGCCAAAGCTTTCGATTAAATGTACACCCGAAAGGCAGCGGGTCTTGCACATGGTCAGTTCACTGACTCATGATGATTGGTCTCCTGGTACTTTAGTAGGGAGAAGGGTGTTACCCGACTCGCACCCAGCGGTCGCCACGAGAAGGCGCCCAGGACATAAGCCAATGGCACAACAGTAGTAACACTGGGTAGGCCGTCAGGACCTAACAACCACCAGCCTGAGCCCACCATAAGCTCTCCGGCTATATATATATATATATATATATATATATATATATATATATATATATATATATATATATATATATATATATATATATATATATATGTAATTGTGATGGTTCTTCACCGCAGTTGGGCTAAACCAACTCATACTTAAACCACATTTTTTTAAATGCGCTGAATTTCACCATACTTGTTATTCCTCCCTATATAATCTTTTCTCTTACACTCGCCTTTGGTAATTGTGGTTTTCTCCCTTAACTTCACGGCATTTTTGCGCAATTTCTTTACATTTTGTACTTATCAGGGATTCAGGGCTAACCAACATATTTCAGATGCTAATTTAGGGAAGAGTTTTGTCTTCATAGCTGTATGCTTTAACAGATATATTTTATTTTTTATGTCGTTTCAACTGATTGGCTGTTGCTTGATATCCCCGATGTGGCTGCGCTTGAGGTGTATGTTAACAAGGTGCCTACCTGTCTGTTACCCGCTACCTCGTCCATACTGGCTCCAGGAGGCAGGTGATCGTTGCTAGAGGGGACGGGGTGCACGATCTTTGTGGCCGTGTTAGGCTCGAAGATTGGTTCCATGCATTCAGTGGGCCGCGGACTACGGTCCAGTCACTGCCTTCTGTGCGCTTGATGCCCCAATTACAGCGTGTTGTGTTTGCCTGTGAAGGAGTGTGAACCGGCTCCGTTGATGAAACGTGGCTACCATTCATATGCATCCAGGTCTTATTCCTTTGGGTTTACATTGGATATGGGGTGTGTGGATGGAACTGTGGGTGGTGCAGCGCAAGCCACCCATGGTCCCTCTGTAGGCGCAGGCGTCCTGTGGCTGGTCACAGTGACAGGCAAATCCGAAACCGGATGCTGCCGACCATATTTTAAGCTCCTATGTTACCTGTCCTCACCGGCCACCATACAACGCTGTTCACCCTAAACATCAGGGGAGCCTGTTTATTGCTGATTAGCAACTGCTATTCAGCTTTTAACAAAAGACTGATTTTAAAGCGACGGCATTACACTGGAATACCGTCCCGGTGTTTCTACGCCTCGCAATCACTACCTGTCGCATGAGGATTGGGTATACCGCGACGTCTTTCGCCATCTAAGGCAAACTGCTCTCCGGATAAGGAAGCGCAAGGGATGCAGATGTATGGCTTTAGGGCTTCAAGCGGCATTGTAGAATAAGATGCCTATGTCTTGCAAGTACTAAACGGAAACCGCAACGCTGTTTACTCTGCCATGCGTTAGATGAACAAGAGCCGGGCCGTTACCTTAACTATCACGTGCATGCCTCCTAATCCAGGGATGCGAGTTCGGGCCTGCTTAGGGACCGGGCGACCATCCCAGTATCTTTATCCCACGTGTGATCGGGGTGGTTGCGCGGCAGCAAAGCGTCTGTACTGCTGGTGCTTTCAGATGGGCAAAATGAGACTGTTTTCGGTATGCGGTGGGCTGACATGTTGCATGAGTGCACACAGGTGCTACTTTTCAGTTTTAATTGTTTAAGTCGTGCATACCGCCCTGTGCCTAGCTTAGAGCTTGAACTCATTTATCACTCCGGGACGGGGGAATTTGTATGTATGACCCGGCAGGATTGAATATTTTCATGGTCTTCTAGCTGTCCGCTCTCTGAATCTGATACAAGGTAAACATATACGTCCTTATTTACCCATCGGCTCACTTTAAACTATGTACTTACGCGTTTCCTGCTAGATGCACACTCAGTCACGCCAAGTTGCTAACTGTTTAAGTCTTTTGCATAGAATATGGTTCAGCCATCTATTTTTATGCATTATTGGTGTCATCAGGTTAGTCTTGGATGCTAACACCCAACGTTTCTATTTTCATGATATACCTTTATTTCGATTCGGTTCGGAGTTGTTTTTTTTGCGATTTCATTCACCTTTGGCTTTATCTGTGATCTAACTGTCACCCGACGTTTCTCTTTCATGCCGGTTTTTATTCTTCTCTATTTGTTATCATATGAGGGTTACGTAACAGTGCCTGCTACTGTGGCGTACATGTACGTTAATTCCTTATTCAGAATACAATATGTGTAGTTCATTACGGATTTATCAAACCTTTGAAGCTCTTATTGCTTCATCTAAGAAGTGTTTTGCGCATGGGGCCAAGTGATTCTCCCATATCGTCGCCTCTTGGTGGAAACGATCTATCTCCTGCTTCTTTACTGATTGACCTAGTTGTTATGCCGGCATCTGTTTTCGATTCCAGTGAGAACGGGAAGAAAGGCGCGTGCAATTGTTCAGAACACTGGGTGATTCGTAGGACGTTCAGATTGTTCACGAAAATTTTTCTCTGGGTTGTTCTCAGTCGCATCAATGATACTGCGCTCAGGTTTGTACACCATCCTACTTCCATGATCGATTATCATAGAGCAGGTCCTAAGGGTTATTAGCAAAATGGTTCATGAGCTATGACACCCATCGTACCCTGAACGGCAATTTAAGCCAAGTGTTTTTAATGCATCGTTTACAACGTCGTCGCAACTCGGTTCCAGTCTATCAGACTGACGATGAAGATCAATCCCGATTTATCTTGACTTCTTGGTTACTTGGTTACTATCTGTCCGCGATCATTCGATGGAGTTACACAGAGCCCGACCCGCTTGTGCTTGACTCGTCATTCCTCTTGCTCTTGTATTAGTCTTTTTTAATGCGCGAGCCGAGGATGCTGTACCTTCACAAACCTTGAACATCGATTCGACGCCTTTGGCCTCCGTTTCAAGCTTTCCCTTTCGCATCTCAATTTTATTTTTATTTCCTTATATTTCTCGATTTCTCTTTGTTTATTGCTGCCTCTTTAGTGCCTATGTGTCTCTTTACTTCAAGTTGCCGGTGCAGTGGCGATTACCGACGTTCGTCACTTGGACATTGATTGGTTGAACTTGGTGTTACCCACATGTATTGATTTGGCTCTCCTAGTATACATATCTTATCACTGACTACTATCCTCTCTAAACAGCGCAGTCAAGGAGTTCTAGCTGTTCCAGTTTCATTTGCACTTCAGCTATATTGGGGAAATACCTCCGTGAATGGCTATAGCGATACCATGCCGAACGACGTTCTCCTCGAGTTTTATCTTGCTTCTGTCAAGGTTCAGTTGTATGAATATCATTTTTTCAAGTCCAAAATCTCAGGGGACCGATATGCAGTAAGTCTCTGCTTTTTGCATTTCACATTAGTATGCACTGTACTACGATCGTGCTTTACACCGCGAATCACATTCCGTGTTGCTTCTCCCAATATTCACACCATATCAAACCATTTAACAGGTACCAATGTGTGCAGCGTCTTCGAACCCTCACATCATCATCATCATCCTCCCTCCTCCTCCACCTCTTCACCATCACCTTCATCATCATCATAATCATCCTCCTAATCCTCCTCCTCCTCCACCTTATCATCACCATCATCGTCATCGACATCATAAACATCATCAAGATGAAAGCCACGGCGGCCGGTTCGAAATATAACTCTCTGCTCCTGTGCTAGTTTGTTCAGGTTTTCTGCGTCGTATATCGTGCTTTTTTGTCTTCAGTTGTTTACTTCGCTATTATTTGTGATTCTGAATTATCCAATAATATATTTTAAGCCGTTTTCTGCAGTAATTCTGTCTTTCTATACTGCCTGGTCATGTTTTCTCGTGTCCATTTCAGGCCAGTTTACCTCGTTCTTTTCGTTGTTAAAGTCGTTTTATGCTATAACTATTGTAATTTAACTGTGTAACTGTGTAATTTACTTGCATTAGTCATCACAACCACTTGTGCCAGTTTATTATAATTTCTATGGTTCTACATCACGCTGATTTAGCCGTATCGATTGGTGCATATTTTTGAAATGGCAAAGCAGATACCTCGTGGTATTTGTTCTAAATTCGTTGGACATCGCGCAAATGGGTTTACATGCATGCGTAAAGTTTCGTATTTCGTGTATTGGTCTCTCTGTGGAACGATTTCAAGTAATTCTGGCATTCAGCACGACTTTTTGAAGACCATTTGTAATCAACGTCAGTCTAAACTTTTGCAGAATGGAACCGAAGAGCCTGACAAGCGGACCAGTAGAGCGAAGTGCGCTAAAACGCGCAGCTCGATTTGTCCTACATCACGATCAGAGAAACAGCTAGCGCTTAGTACGGCAGCGAATCTATCCTTGGAGCGAACTGCTAACGCTCTGACAGGCTCGGCTTCAAGGCCTACGATTTCTTCAGTTAACACTCAAGTTGTAATTCACAGTAAGCAAATTGTTGATAACAAATGGAAAATGGAAATGTCAAAGGAACCGAGAACATTGTCTAGCGACCTGAAGCGCCGCAGCCTCATGGTCTTTCACGCAGCTGAATCCTGTGATTTCCATCCTCAGCTGCGCTATGAACATGACGTCGTATTTTTGCAAACTCTGATTGATAGACTGCTCGACGTGGATGAGGGCGGGCCCAAAGTGAAACCGAGGGCGAAAGTCGACCTATGAGGGTGAGTTTTGTCGAAGAGGCAAGTCTTAAGTTAATATTGTCCCGCCTTAGTAGACTGAAGGGTCTAAAGATCCACGTGCGCGCTGACAGACCCGATTCTCGGGTAGTTGCCCGGATTCCTCCGCGAATCCGGATTAGCAGGTTTCTAATGCTTTAGGCGCGTCCAGCGCTTCCTACCGCGACCTGCGTGTAGCCTTTACTAACGTCTGCAGTGTGATGAACAAACGTGATGAACTGTACTACTTTGTAACCTCTCAGCGGGCAGACGTATTTGGCCTTGCTGTGACATGGTTAAACTCCGACATAACCGCCCAAGAAGTGGAAATCAGCGGCTACTTGTGCTTCCGCTGTGGTAGACCATCAAATGATCACGGTAGCGTACTGCTTTACACAGTCTTCCTTGTGTGGGAGGCTAGTGAGCTCCTACCGAAGCGCTGATGGTCTATCTGAGCAGTTATGGTGTTCGATTCACCTCAGACGCTGCGAGATGCTTGTAGGTGTAGTATATCGCAGTCCACTGAGCTGACGCTTGTAATGGACTGGTTGCCGCATGTCCACAACCACATGAGTCATCTGCTGTTCCTACTCACGGTATACTCAGCCCACGCGCGACTGATGGTGATGGCGTGGCGGTGATGCACCGTTACGGCGTACAGCTGGCGATTATTATTATTGTTATTATTATTAATTCAGTGACCTGAGGTTGAACTTAAAGATGCCCGCTGTCACCTTTCCTCTTCAAGTTCGCCATTGACGAAGTCATGGAAACCGCATCCACAGGACACGACTTAGAAGGTGTGGATCTGCTCCCAGGAGAACGACTTCTTGACTTAGAGTATGCGGATGATATTGTCCTAATCTGTGACAGCTCCCAGACGTGCCAAGCGGCACTGGACAGATTAGCACTGGCTGTCCGTCACTTCGGGCTTTGCTTTGCACCCTCGAAGTGCAAAGCGTTCCTCCAAGATTGGTCTGGACCGCCTCCTTCGTTGACACTTGGTGGGGATCAGATAGAAGTCGTTCAGAAATTCAACTACCTGGTAAGTTCTATCAGCGCCTGTGGGATTGAAGATGAGATCACGAACCGTATAGCAAAAGCTCGAGACGCTTTTGCTAACCTTCGCCACTTATGGAGGCGGCGCGACATCACTCTTGCCCTGAAGGGTAGAGTGTACAATGCAGCGGTACGTTCGACCCTACTGTACGGTTGTGAGACGTGGCTCCTTAAAGCAACGGACCTGAAGAGGCCAGTTACGTTCGACCCCTGGTGCCTTCGCAATTTAGCGCACATCTGGTGGGAACACCGCGTGAGCAACGAGCGTGTTCGACGCCTTGTTTACGGCGCAGGAAAAGGAACTGAACCGCTCAGCACCGTTATTTCACGCACCAGGCTCCGATGGCTCGGCCACGTGTTACGCATGCGAACTCACCGAATCCCGCGATGTGCGTTGTTTGCGCGCCGGGGGTGTGGATGGAAGAAGAGGAGGGGTGGCCAAGCGATGACTTGGTCGAGAGGAATGAAGGCCCTCACTTCTGAGCTGGCCTTGATTTGAGCGTCTCGGCTCCATGGTTGGGGTCCGAAGGACGATGAACACGTTTGGTTGGACACACTTGCTGATATAGTTAGGAGTCGACCTCAGTGCCGTTCGTGCTGTGAGTTTCTTTGTTCCACCCCATCCCTCTTAGCGTCCCCCTCCAATCACGATCCCATTATTTAGCGTTATATAATTTTGCATAATAATTTTTTTTGGGTGCACAGCAGCCGGCTGGTAGCTTACCGGAATGATGCCCATCCGTTACCGGTAGCTCAGCCAGCTTTCACCAGTTGATTTTTTCCTCTCCTTTTTTCTTTGTATTGCGGCACAGTAGCTGAGGTGTTCCCCACCTCTGGCTAACGTGTATAATGATGATGATGAGGCTGAACTTCTCCCCAACCATTGTGAGGTCCAGAGGAACTATACTGAGTTAATATTTGAAACCGGTGCCTCACAGCACATCACCCAACCGAGGCGCATAACTGCGCGCACGATTCCATTATGTTTGGACCTGCTGTCGACCAACTGTGAGCAACATGTACATGATATTCAAGTCTTGGAGCCCCTGGGAGCGAGAGACCAGTCGATGATCATAGCCAGTTTGGAACTGCCGCTGCCCTATTCTCCTCCGCAGGAGTCAGCCTTCAACTACTGGAAGGCAGACTTTAATAGGCTTACTCGAGCAGCGAGCCAAATGAACTGGTTTTTACCAGAGAATTCGTCTATTGCAAACTTCTGCACTATCATTAAAGAGGGAGTGAAATTGTTATTCGCCGATTTGTACCTCTCAAATATCGGAAACTTGGGCCAGTCAACCCACATTGGTTCGAGGAGGAGTACAGCAAACTGACCCGACGACGACGCAGACTATGGAACCAATTCGTGATACCTGGTTCTGATGAGGACTACGAGGCGTACAATATACAGCGAAATCTCTGCAACAACGCGGAAACGAAAAAGCACAGAAGCTTCAAGAAGCGGCTTGCAACCGTCGCAAAAACTGCTCCCAAGAGGATATACGCCTACGTGAATCGGCGCTTGAGCCCTGCAGGCAATATGCCAGTGTTGGAAGACTCAGACGGACAGCCCCTAACCTCGAGCACAGATCGTGTGCCCGCATTGGCGGCGCACTTCGCTTTCGTATTTGCAAGTGACCAGGTGTCCGTAACGAGTTCGACGAGCGCGGCTTCCACTGAACTATATCATTACCCACATAGTTGCATAAATGGTCCAAAATTTTGCAAAGAATGCTCAAAATTTTGCAGAGATGGTCCAAAAGTTTGCAAAAAAGTCCAAAATTTTGCAAAACCCTGTGCGATTCGCCAGCCACTCAGAACCGATTCTCTGACCTGAAGTGTGTTCTCACTGGCTGGATACCAAGGTTCGGTGCGTTGGTCTGGGGAGGTGGGCGCGCTGCCCGTTGACTGGGTGAGACTTGTAAATGAACCTTAGCGGCACGCTCTTCGGCGATGCAGTGGGCTTGTATGCGCCCCCTTCACGTCCGAAACAGTATATCACAATTTTTCTGAGAGCAATGAACAGCTGGAACATAAGCGCACGACCGAAATCATGTCTATGATACTAACGTCGTCGGCATGCCTTCTCGCGTTCGACAGATATTTCATCAGACCGAGTTTTGGACGCCTTCGTCAACGGTGATGACTAGCAGCTGGTGGCAACTGTGAACAAGGTCAAATATCAAACAGCCTACTCCTGGATTCGTCGTTCGCTCGATTAGGAGCCGAGTACTACGCAAGCGCGGTTGTAAGCGGATTCTGTCGGAGGAAGACGTAGATGACATCCTGGATTGGATCGCAAGGGACTCAACTCTTACGCTACGGGAAATGGGAGTACGAGTACGAGCAGCAGTGGACAAGGACATTTCGAAGTCAACCATCGTTCGGCACCTGGATGGTCGATTGATAACTATGAAGAACATCTATCAGGTTCCCGAGGGAATGAACAATGAGCGAGCCAGGTAATTCGTTCAGCAGTTTCTCCAACTTGAGAGCAATGACAAGTTCTTCATTTGGATTGACGAAAGGAATTTCAACGTTTACTGAAAACGTACTCGTGGTCGGACGCCCAGAGGAGTGAGGGCCTGTTTCAAAGTTGCCAACAGTAGAGGCCTCAATTTGCATTTGATCG